TAGATCTGTAGGTTCACGCCTGTGCTAAAGATTCCGAAAATTTCAAGTCGCTACTTGCTTCAGTTTGGAAGAGGCGTATTTTTAAAGACAGAGCGCAGTTGGGAAAAAATGTTCATTATGGCATCAACATTTACTAAGCTGAAAAAATTGATATTTTGGACAATTTTTACTAATCAATCTAGATCTGTAGGTTCACGCCTGTGCTAAAGATTCCGAAAATTTCAAGTCGCTACTTGCTTCAGTTTGGAAGAGGTGAATTTTTAAAGACAGAGCGCAGTTGGACAAAAATGTTCATTATGGCATCAACATTTACTAAGCTGGAAAATATTGATGTTCCTGGTGATTTGGATAAAACTTTCCACATTGGTAGAGCCAAGTATTTGCTAAACATTGTAAATTTTTTCAATCACTACTTTCTTCAGCTTGGAATTTGCGAATTTTTAAAGAAAGAGCGCAATTGGCCAACCTTTTTCATTACGAGACTTTTCTAAGAGGGCAAAAATTGATATTTTAGAACAGTTTTACTAACCTTTGTAGATCTATAGGAAAAGTATTTGCTAAAGTTTTTGAAAGTTTAAAATGGCTACTTGCTTCAGTTTGAAAACTGCGAATTTTTAAAGGAGAAAGCGCACTTGGGAAAAAATGTTCATTATGAGACCGCCATTTATAAGCAAGCAAAAATGTATATTCCGGACTATTTCTGTTAAACTTGCTACATGCGTACAGTCAACAATTAGGCGCGGAAAATGGTTGCAGATAATACCAACCGAAACGTTGCGAATAAATGTATGGAAGACAATGGAAATCCGAATAAACCATCCAACCTCCAATCGTAATATTGCCTACCATTTTTAAGACAATAAATACGTTTGTCTTTTGGAGTCCACAGAAATTAAGACAATTAATCATTCCTGGCTTAATAAAACAGGATTTGTTGCGGAAAAGTTTGTGAATTTGTCTGGGATTTTTTCGACATCGACAAATCTCCCGACAGGCCAGACGGATTCATTCAATTAAGTCACAGTTTGAATATTAAGATTGGAAACGACTGCGGCCAATGTTTTTGAATAAATAATTGCACGCTATTTAGATGCAATAAACATAACAGCTTTTCAAACATCTATCGTCCATTTGAGCAATTACTTGAACAGTTATAAGCATCATTTCGCCTTCCAAAGATCCGAATTAAATTGCACTTTTGTATCAATTTAAATAACATTAATGTAATTATAAACGTCGCTAAAGCATTTGCTCTGGCATAATAACTATGTCCAAATTCGACGCAAGTTTATATTTAAAGTGTATTTTTTAAATAAGCCGCTGTGATTTTACAAAACCCAAACAAAAACTCTGCACAATTTATGCGATCAAAAAAATAATGGGTTTTTCAACTTCCAAAAATTCGTAATGGAATTCAAAGCTGTTCAAGGTAAAAAATGTTTATTATACATAGAGTTTTTCCATCAGTGCGCCTTTTCGTGATTTTGGCCGAAAATATAGCTACAAAAAACGTATAAATGCAACTAGCGCTTTGCAACAGAACTTAAATTTAATTATTTTTGTTGTGATATGCATTCGAATTTAAGCTCCAAAACAGAATTTTAATCCCCGACTTAATTAATGGCTTTGAGTGAAACACAATGGAAATGGCAAAATAAAGTCTGGTATTTTAGTTTAGAAAGTTGAGTTTATGCCTTTGTTTTCGTATTATTTGTTTTAAAGGCCTGATCGACTTAAGGTTCAAAAATACGGTGAATTGGGGGCAAAAAATTGATCGGAATTAGTTTTCTGGTAGATTTTTTTTTGAAGATTTCGCTTACTATGCGTTACCAGCAGCTTTATTGGTGTTTTATTTTTACTTTTTGTCGCCTTGCAACAACGCTGTTCTTTAAAAGTAGGAAAAACGTCCCATTAAAAACGAATTTTCACTGTTACTTTTTAATGAATGGAAAAAAGCTGCATTACATCATTTTTCTACTTCATTCCTTTCCAGTTGAATACTTTCGTAGACCTTAAAAAATGATCGTTAAATTAATTGTTCAGGCTTAAACCTTCATGGCCACAATAAAAACAAACTTGAGCATTTACATCAGCCTTACACGAGATCTGTTTGTTGTTATTTCAGTTAATTTCCCACTTGCATTTCCTGCATTGAAACGATGCAGTACATGGCAAACGAAATTGGTAATTGTACGAGTAAACGGGCGAATTAAATACATTAAAGTAGCAGGAACAACAGATAATTATTAATAATTCATCCTTAATTGCATGTTTGACAAGGACTGTTTTAGGTTTTGCATAAAACATTGAACACAACAGTAGCGAACACTTGAAGATACTCATGGTTAATTAAGGCGTTTCTGGGGTGTTGATTTATAAACTATTTAGTGGAAGATTTTGCATTTTTTTCTGATCACAATCAATGTTTTGCAGGCTTACAGCCTTGGAACCGTGCCATAATTGACTTTTTTTGAAATTTTAGAGTAAACTGAGTACGAACAATGCAGATAAGCGATTGGTGCAAAATCCGAAAATTTTGCTTTGTTTGAAAATTATGATTTTCAAAATTGCGTTTGAACCCTTAAGTTCGCACTAATTTTGAGGAAAATTGTCTGGAAAAACCCAAAATCGACACCTGAATAGTCGTAAATTAAGTCGATTTCAAAATACAACCAAATTAATTGAGAAAGTCCAGTAAAAAATGCAAAAATTTGGCAAGATTGTAAAAAATACATCTTTAGTCTCACCTGAGGATTTTTTTTCTTGTTTAAGTGCAGCGTTTTGGCTATACATAAAAAAGGCTTTTGAGTCCCCATCTGTCCCAGCTTGCTATATGTATATGATTTTTTTTAAAGGTCGACAGATTTTGCACTTATGAAATCTTAAGCATAGGTTGAGTTTTTTTTTATTAACTTTTTCCAGGACTTTGAGGAAATTTTGTTTGCGTATAAACTGAGGCTTTGGCTACAAAAAAGGCGACTTTCAAGTCTCCATCTGTCCCAGTTTGCTACTTGTGATTTTTTTAAGTTTGACGCATTTTGCACTTATGAAACCWTAAGYACAGATTGATAWTTAAAAAAAATAAACCTTCCCACAATTTTAAGGCAATTTTGTTTGTGAATAWGTTCAGGCTTTGGCTAGAAAATGGACGACTTTYAAGTCTCCATCTGCTGCATTTTACTATGTATATGCTTATTATTTTTTTAATAAAATCGACGCAATTCGCACTTATGTAACTTTAAGCACGCATTGACAATTTTTTTTAAATTAACTTTTCACAGGATTTTGAGTCAATTTTGTTTGAGAATCAAGTGAGGCTTTACCAAGATATGGAACGACTTTCAAGCCCCCATTTGCTCCAGTTTGCTACTTATGATTATGTTTTTTAAATAAGTAAAAGATTGACAAGTTTTTAAAAAATCTAAAAACGTTAAAAAGTTTTCAACAAATTTGTAAACGAATGTCTCGTCTATGCAATGAGCCTTAGAACCTGATGGTGGCTAAACTAGAGCCAAAACGTCGGCACAAGGCAAGCTGTTTTCTCCCTTCGAGTGCCGTTAACCATCTTTTCTATATTCATTGAACATTCAACTCTGATTTTGTGGCCATAAAGCAGAAGGGAAAATGTCAATATTATCCAGACAAACGAGATTAAACATTAATCGATACAGATCCACTACAGCCCAAATATACAGCCAATTACATTGAACAAACGAATTCGGCTAGTGCTTGTTCAAGGCAGGCCTCCAACTGATTTCGCCTTTTGATTTATGTGTTTTTTTTTGGAACTTTTCCCCATTCATCTAATATTGAAATAGAGCTTTTGTGTCCGGAAAACGCGCTC